GCGGAACCGTGGGAGCCCAGCCGTGGGATCGGGAACACACCCGTGGGAGAGGGAACCGACCCATGGGAGAGGAAACCCACCCGTGGGATCGGGAACACACGCGTGGGAGAAGGAACTCACCCGTGGGAGAGGAAACCCAAACATGAGAGCAGTCGTCCACCCATGGGAGCAGGAGCCCCCTCCATGGCCCGCGGTGCGGCCGCCCCGACGGCTCCGGCCCCCCCGCCCCGCGCCTCCGTGGACAAAAATTGTCAAAAAACAAAAATCTTATGTTTATGCACTTATTTTTCTCGACAATCATGTCAGGAAATGACACGATTTTTTTTTTGTCCTTTAGGGATTTCACCCTCCTTCCTAGAACTGCAGTTTTGACCCTGCTGGGATCAAGAAATGTAGAGCAACAATTTGGAAACACAAGCAAACAGGAGAAAACGCTGTACGAGGAAAATGATCAGAAGGACGGGTTTGTTATTCACTTTAAAAATCACTTTTTTTTTGTGACTAAAAAAAACAACCAAACAAAACAGATCCAAATACCCTATTCTTCAGGTCCAGTAAAAAAACCTACATTTTGACAGAAACATGTCAGGCAGCAAAGTGAATTATTGTTTTGTACTGGGATGCCAAGCCTGGCATAGGACGATCTCAATCCATGAAATTTTGTGGCTGCATCTTTGCAGGTACACAGGTTGCTGTCAACACATGTCACCTAATCTACCCCAAAAGCAGAAGTAACATACAGAGATAAGGGAAATTATGCAAAATTACGGCTGGGCTAAACTTTCGATGTAAAGTGTGTTTCAAGTTACCTTTGGGGTTGGAAAAGAGAGGCTCCTCTTGGAGGAGATGTATCAAATATCTCAATGTAAAGACGGAATTGATCCTCCCATCTCCTGCATGAGCTCCCATCCCCTCTGATCCAAAGTCACTTTGTCCTCGGTGCTGAGAGACCTGGGCAGCCTGGGAGCGCAGGGCTCCGATGGGACACCAGGAACTCCAAGGTCAACCCCACAGCTGTGGGGAAATGCAGAGAAAAGACACTTAAGGTCAGTTCTGACCCAAAGCTGCCACCTTTGGGGAAATCTTATCCCTGGTCCAGCCCACTGAACTTTATTTAAGGTGTTTTCGTGCCTGATGAGAAAGGAATGGAGTGTCCCTGCGATGCATGAGTGTGGGATGCTCCCGTCTGGCTTAGCTCTGATCAGGGCAGGCAGAGAGACACTCTCGCTCTGTTACTGCAGCTCTGCGGTCCTGTCGGGGGCTATTTCAGCTAATTTCAGCTAAGGAGGAACAGGTTTACATTAGCACCCTTAAACCCAAATAAAAGGCTCCATGCAGATCCGCTCGGAGGAACTGAAGTGCCGGCGCAAACATGCACAGATTTGTGAGGACTGGGACCCTTGCCAAGCTGCTGGGCTGGAGCTGGAAGGAAGCACGGCTCCTTCCCCCCGTTTTGATATGTTATAGCGCTTTCCTCCCTCTTTTCCGTCCTCTATCTGGACGGAGTTCATCCCAGGACTCGAAATTTCAGGCAAGAGTAGCTCTCAAAGTGGTGAAAATGGGGCTTTCTAAGTAAAAAAAAGGCACAGGAAGGACGCAAGCTTGCACCTGCCACCCAGTGACTTCACACTGAGCCCGAGCCCCAGCTCCTATTCCCAGCTGACACCGGGTCTTTAAACATATTTAAAAGAAAAGGGAAAAGAGCTAGAAGTGATTGCAAGAGATGACTTAGTTCTTGCTCTGGTTGGTTTTCACCTCTTTGCAATCTCTTTGGGGCCACATGCTGTTCTTTTGAGCAGTCTTTTAGTGTTGTGAAGGTGCTCTTCCTGGGCCTGGCCGTAGGAAATCTCAGGTGCCTTCTAATACAGCAGAAAGGAGCTAAGGAAAGAGGCCAGATTTTCTTATGTAAGGGGAAAACCTGTGGGTGCCACACTGATATCCATGCAGAAAAGTCAGGTACAGTGGAAGCCCAGGCCAGGCGGATAAGCAGAGTTTATGGAGTCAGTTGTTTCTGTTTGCTTTTTCAGTAGAAATGTTGATGTCTTCAAAATAAAGCATTCCTCAGGGATGATTTCTTTTTCCTTTGTTCTTTTAAGGGCCTTGTAATGAAATATTTCAATACCAAGCAGAACATTACAGTTTTTCATCTCAAAATACTCTTTTTTTCTTTCTTTCTTTCTTTTTTTTTTTTTTGAAATGATTAGGACTTAAGATCAGCTACCATTTGCTTCAGAAATTACTAACAGAATTACCTAGTAGAAGAACACTTACGAATGACTCTTTTGAAAAACAGTCACTGATGTATAGAGTGGAAGGAATACTGCTTTAAAATAGGCAAAACTAAATATATAAATGGAAATGCTGCAAAAGGTCAAAATCACAATGAGAGGTTTCCCTGTTTCCACAGAAAAACAGCTTTGTCGGTTGTTCTGTTTCTTTTTGAGGAATTTCACTTCCCCAAAATGTTAGCATTTATTTGTCATTGTCTTATTTTTTTCCTATTGATTCAAAATTCAGAACATCAAATTGGCCAGTAGCGTGACACCCCTCAACCATCTGTTTGCATGAAGCTCTGCCTCCTGTGGCTGGCTCCTTCGCTTATAAATAAAGTAAGTTTTCTGAAGCGACTTTTGGAAAAGAGATGCAGTTGGGACTTCTTCCACAGATTGAAGTTTTCAATATGTCTTTCCCCTCTGGCAACCATGAGATGACCAGAAGACTTGGGGAATTCCTTGTCTCAACGGCTGCTGGTTATAGGAATGCAGGTTATGGGAAATGGAGGGCAAAATGGAGGTGTCAGGAATGTGATGATGAGAGAGCGTGGGCAGAGGTCTCCACTGTTCTCTTGGAGCAAATGAGACCTCAACCCTCCAGCAGGACATCAAGTGTGGCCATCAGGTCCTGGGCATCAGCCTCATGGATCTGCTTTAATGATTTGTCAAAGCAAGAGAGTTTGTCCATCACAGGCAAAGAAAGGGAGAAGCTGGTGAAGCATCATGCTAATATACGACCGTGATAATGATCTTGACTCCATTAAAACTTAATGTTAATTTTAATTTTGTAAGCCTATGAGCAAAAATCTCACTATTCTCAACTAAAAGATGAAGTGTGACTGTTGTTATCTCTCTCCCCAACCTGGATGCGCTTTTGGCTGTACCCTAAAACCTTCTGGGAGCCTGGTTTGTGTGCCAAGTGCTATATAAATTCAACTTGCATTGCCATTTTTCTAAGGAACTTAAATTTGCTTCCTTATGGGAACCCTGGGGCCTCCCAGGCTTCCACTCTTTAATTTAGCACAAATGAATACAAAAAAATATAAATATATGGCATGAAAATTGGTGGCATAGATTCAGGCTAAAATTAAACACCACAAACCTAGTTCTGCTCTTCAGCTTTGCCTTCAGTTAGAAATAACGGGTGTTACTTTGCCACCTACTTTGTGATAGGAAAAAGAGATATGGATTCAATGTGTGTATTTCTATATATACATATATATATATGTATATAAACTCTTATAATATATCTGTATGTAACTCTATCTGTATATAAACTTCAAAATGATAGGTAATAAGTGTTTGGCTCATTTATTTCTGCTGAGTGGGCAGAATGGCAAATGCCAACCCCGTTCCTCCAGGAATCCCATGCTGCAATCCAAGACTGGACTCCTGCTTGCTCCGAAGATGGAAAAAAATGCCGATGAAGGAGAAGAAGGGGTATATTTCAGTGCTTCCAGCTGCGTGGTATTGACAGTGAGCTGATCAAACTAATTAACAACCACCAGGAATTAATGAGCTGGAACGGCTGGAAGCGAGAGGGCTGGAAGGGAGCGGGAGGCAAAGCAGGATGCCCTATTACAGAGGACAGGTTTTAAGCAGTAGAAGGCAAGTTTAAACTTGAACGTCCTGCCTCCTTGAAGTGCTTGAAAAGTGAAGAGTGTGGGAAAAAATAGGCATTGTGTCATTCTTCTTCTTTCTGTTAACACTAGCGGTGAGTAGCTGTGTCCCATGGAAGCTTGTTCCTGTAGCTTCTCCCAGTACAAATAAGTGCTTCTGGCAACAAATCCTGACACCTTTTCTCCCACTGAAATCAGTGGCTCCATCCTGTTTTATATCTTTTGAGAAATCTGCCCCAAAGTGCCAATATTGGCTTTCTTTTCTTTCTAACACAAGCAAAATCCTTACGATAGAGGTCAGCTTTGCAAGTTCTGGGGCCATACAGCACAAGCCAGCCTGGGCTTGCTTGTTTACCAAATTCCTCTGCTCCAAAAATGGCTATTTCAGGAACTCATGAGCTACCTGGGGGTGAGCAAAGGCTGAACTGGGCTCAGCAACCTCCACATTTCAAAATCTCAGCGACCTTTCCTGGTATGAATCATGAGTAAATAGTGTCTGAGAGAGCTACATCTCTCCTGTGTGTCTGGGAGAGCTACATCTCTCACTTTTCCCTTGCGTCAAAACACCACACGTCACAGTCAGGGACAA